GATCTTTTGTGAGAAATATCTTTGAGAGAAGAGAGGACAAATTTTGGGGTACAACACATTGCATGGTTGAAATCGGGAAAATCTATTACAGGAATTCTTCTACAAGTGATAGCCTTTTCATCCAAAGCTTTGGGTAAATTGACTACTTCAGTTATAAGGGAAATATCCAACAAATCTTCACCATTGAATGATCTACCAATCATGACTAGAGGTTCATATTGTAGATTCCAAGAGTCCACAAGCTTAATCTCAATCAAGATTTATCTGACACGGTTAAGTGTTTGATAACTATCAATACCAGAACTAGATCCCTGATGCCAATTGAAGGTGCAAGAAACATAAGAAATGGAGTTTGAATGGGGTTTCTAGAAATAAAATATTTTCAAAACCAAGAACAGAAGTTAACAATAGAACAAAAATAAATGAACACAATTATTTTTATCATGGTGCACTATTAACAAAGTTAATCCAGTCCACCCACCAAGGTGATTTTCCTTTCTCAATTAAGGACTCAATCCACTATAACTAAACTGATTACAATCCACAAAGACAAATTGTCGATGTCATATTGAGAATCCTGACTAAAAACCTAGTCTCTTAAGGAACAACAACTCAAAGACAAATTGTTAATGACTTCTTGAGTAATTAGACTAACACTTATTCACTCAAGAAACAATTAACTCATTGTCAAATACAAGTTTTCATATTTACAATATTGCTTCTTGAAAGTTGATTACACAAAAATAAAGAATAAATAATAACACAACAGTGTTAAGCAAGTTAGCGAACAATAGTTCCTTGTTAGCAAGTTAACGAACAAAAGTTCCTTGTTTTACAAAAATTACAGTGTTATTTTGGCAGTATTTCAGCAAATTGAATCATTGTGAATTTCTTCAAAGTTGTTCAACAATTCCATTTCTTCCCAGTCTTCCTTTTATATGCAAAAAAAAAATTGTTGGAGGATAGAATAGGAATATCAAAGTTTTCCAAATGTCTTGTTGCAACAGTCAGTGTGAGTGATAGACAACCTAGTACCAATAGTATATTCTTTGCGCCACATAACAATGGTAGTGGAAAGATATGACTTTGTACTATCACTTCACGTGAGACCTTTGATCTTCTCTTCTAATCTTCAAAAGCTTTAAAGTATGTAAGAGTTGGACATGTTTAGAAGGATAAAAAATCAGTCTTCAGAGTCTTCGGAACTTGTTCAATAGAGTCCTGTCTTCAGAGTCTTCAACAATTGGTCTTCAGAACCGTATCTTTAGAACTCGCTCAACAGAACCTTGTCTTCAGAATCTTCAGAACAATTGGTCTTCAGAGTCTTCAAAACTTGTTCAGCAAAACCTTTTATTTAGAATCTTCTGAACCTTAGTGCATGAGAGCTTGAAGTCTTCAACTTTAGAATCCTTTAGAAGCTCTACTATCAGAATCACAATTAGAAGCAATAAAACTAACGTTCATAAGTTGTTTTAAGAAGCATTCTAAGCAATGTCACACACACACACACACACACACACACACACACACACACACACACACACACACACACACACACACACACACACACACACACACACTTGTATCTCTTAGTGTGTTGAGTCCATAGTTTGATGACGTCACATGTCAAATCTTCAGAGTCAGAATCTATTAGCAAACGTTAGACACTAAACAAACCATCAGGGATACTAAATTGTTATCTAATCACCTATATAATGTTATCATCAAAACTCAAGTTCAGATGCAGAAATAAATCTTTTACAAAATGTGTTACCAACACCTACATTGCCTATTATGATAGGTAACGTAAATCCACTTGTATCACCTTCTTTTTAAGATATGGTTTGTTGGATGATGGCACTACAACTTATTTCTAACCATATGCCTTCCTTATCAATTTACTTTATCTTCCTTGTTAAGGTCTTTTTAGTAAAAGTGTGCATCTAATTCAAGGCTTTAAAAATGGTGTGTTTATCGACAATTTTTCAAAAATGTTACCAACTTTAAATATCGTCTTTTCTTTTTGTGTTTGGTTGGAGTTTGTACGGAAGGTAAGATTTAAAAAGGCAGAAGTCTTAGTTTTCCTCCCTTATCTCTTAATTGTCGCAATTAAATGACACTATAAAATCTATTTATATTATTAATAAATATCAATTAAATTCATTGTTAAATGACTTACTTTTTAATTTTATTATATTATGAATTAATTTTGTTTTCCTTTTTTTTTCTTTCTTTTTCAGTTTTTGGTATTTTTTTAAATAATAATTAATTAATCATTTTTGTATTTTTAGTTTTTTTACGTTTAAAATATATAATTTAACTTATGATATATATTTATTTTCTTGAATCGTAAATTTTTTTATTATTAAAAGAAAATTATTAATAATTAGTTGTTAGTTGATTTAATTGTGATTTAATGGTGATTTAAGGATCAAAGTTTTATTTCTGTGATAGGAAATGATGGAGGTGTTTAAAACCGAATCAACTTAATAGAAAATCCCAAATCAAACAAAATCAAATTAACATCATAAAAAATCGCATTTGATTCAGATGTGTTTGAATCCTATTTTAGCAAAATCGTAAACTTTTTTATTATTAAAATAAAATTATTAATAGTTAGTTGTTAGTTGATTTAATGGTGATTTAACATTGATTTTTATAAAGAAGATCAAAGGTTCATCTTCGCGATAGAGAGCGATAGGGAGTAAGAGTGTTCAAAACCGAACCAACTTAATAGAAAACCACAAACTAAATAAAATTGTAAAAAACTGCATTTAGTTCAGATGTGTTTGTGATATATTTTAGCAAAACCGCACGATTTGGTTCAGTTTGCTATTTGTATTTTAGAAACCAAATCAAACCGCATTATGTTACCACCTAAATTTTACTGAACTCACATTCAACACAAACCTAAACCTATTATACCTTAACCTTACGATTACAAACTATTTTTTCTTCCTTACACTTAGGATTTCTATTTTAGTCTTCTAAAATATCTCCTAGCATTATCGCGCATTCTTCACATACATCTTCCCTTTTCTTATTTAATATCTACTCTCATATATTCATTATTTTTCACCTTCTCATTTTTATGATAGGTAACGTAAATCCACCTGTATCACCTTCTTTTTAAGATATGGTTTGTTGGATGATGGCACTGCAACTTATTTCTAACCATATGACTTCCTTATTAATTTACTTTATCTTCCTTGTTAAGGTCTTTTTAGTAAAAGTGTGCATCTAATTCGAGGCTTTAAAAAATGGTGTGTTTATCGACAATTTTTCGAAAATGTTACCAACTTTAAATATCGTCTTTTCTTTTTGTGTCTGGTTGGAGTTTGTACGGAAGGTAAGATTTAAAAAGGCAGAAATCTTAGTTTTCCTCCCTTATCTCTTAATTGCCGCAATTAAATGAAACTATAAAATCTATTTATATTATTAATAAATATCAATTAAATTCATTGTCAAATGACTTAGTACTTTTTAATTTTATTATATTATGAATTAATTTTGTTTTCCTTTTTTTTTCTTTCTTTTTCAGTTTTTGGTATTTTTTTAAATAATCATTAATTAATCATTTTTGTATCTTTAGTTTTTTTACGTTTAAAATATATAATTTAACTTATGATATATATTTATTTTCTTGAATTGTAAATTTTTTTATTATTAAAAGAAAATTATTAATAATTAGTTGTTAGTTGATTTAATTGTGATTTAATGGTGATTTAAGGATTAAAGTTTTATTTCCGTGATAGGAAATGATGGAGGTGTTCAAAACCAAATCAACTTAATAGAAAATCCCAAATCAAACAAAATCAAATTAACATCATAAAAAATCGCATTTGATTCAGATGTGTTTGAATCCTATTTTAGCAAAATCGTAAACTTTTTTATTATTAAAATAAAATTATTAATAGTTAGTTGTTAGTTGATTTAATGGTGATTTAACATTGATTTTTATAAAGAAGATCAAAGGTTCATCTTCGCGATAGAGAGCGATAGAGAGTAAGAGTGTTCAAAACCGAACCAACTTAATAGAAAACCACAAACTAAATAAAACTGTAAAAAACTGCATTTAGTTCGGATGTGTTTGTGACATATTTTAGCAAAACCGCACGATTTGGTTCAGTTTGCTATTTGTATTTTAGAAACCAAATCAAACCGCATTATGTTACAACCTAAATTTTACTGAACTCACATTCAACACAAACCTAAATCTATTATACCTTAACCTTACAATTACAAACTATTTTTTCTTCCTTACACTTAGGATTTCTATTTTAGTCTTCTAAAATAGAGCATTATTGCGCATTCTTCACATACATCTTCCCTTTTCTTATCTAATATCTACTCTCATATATTCATTCTTTTTCACATTCTCATTTTTATACAATTGTTCTTTCTTTCAAATTCATTTTTATCACGTATCTTCTTCTCTAATCTCTCATCTTTTATGTTATTTCTTTTTCATTTTCACTAGTCTCTCATCTCATCAATTTTTTTTGTTTTATTATAATATTTTTGATGTTTTATTCTCAAATATTATTTTTGATTAATCTAAATTTTACATATTAAATAGAAGTTGTTTAAATATAATGAATTTTATTATTTGATAGTATATGAATAATTAAATACAAAGTTATATTATCATTCATATATATCATTCAATAAAATATTTATAAAAAATCGAATAGATTAAACCAAATCACATTAATTAATTTGATTCAATTTTATTTATAAATATCAACCGAATCAATCCAAATTGTATTTTTTTTTTTTTGACTTTTAACAAGCAAATACCCTAAACGAGGAGTTCTTAACCCACTTTAAAGGAAAAAAATTAACTCTAGTGTATCATATAATTAAATTTGGAATCCTAATTGGTACTAGTTTATTCATAGAAGCATATATAAGATTTACGATAAAGTGGTATAAGTTTCAAACTTTCAATTTCAGCATCATCATCATCATCGGTTCTTACTCGGAGGACACCACCCAACATGTACGGCGGACCCTCCTCCAAACTCGGCCGTGCTGGCCCTAAACGCCTCCGTTCGTCTTTCCCCCCTCTGCCGTCTCACCGTCCGCCTTCCTCCGCCAACTCTAATCGCTCCCTCGGTGGCTCTGTCCAGAAAACGCCACCAACGGCGGAGGAGACTTCCAGCCTTGTATCCGGAAGCAATCCCCTCCCTTTCTCTATGATCGTAAAGCTGACGCCAGAGCTAGTGGAAGAGGTCAAGCGCGTGGAGGCTCAGGGTGGCATTGCAAGAATGAAATATGACCCCAACCCTAACAATTCCAATGGAAATGTATGTTTCTTATTCTTTTTAATTTTTGGGTGCTTTTTGTTACCCTAGTTTTGAATTGTTGCACTTGCATTTTAAAGTATAGTTTGTGTAATCAAATGCTAATTTGTTATTTGCACCATGATTCCAATTTGTTTATTTGTTCATCTTTGTTTTTAGCAATACTCTTTTTAGATTATCATCCCCTTTTCCTTTTGAGTTTACTTGATTCTTTTTTGAGAGAGAAAATATTTGAAGAGTAATGGTAAAATGAAGGGTAATAATAGCCTTGGCAAAAGTGTTGGAGTAGCTATCACCTGACTAGTTACTCATATAATAGGTCATGGGTTGGAATTATGGAGTTAGGCTGTTTCATCGGTTCGGGTTGGAGAACTACTTTATTTCGGAGATTTTTTTTTTGCCAAATGTGATTCTAAATCAACTTGCTGGGAGGGGGAGTGTGTTGGCCACCACATATGTTGTCTCGACAACCAAACCACTCGCTGCAAATCCGAAGACATAGGTCATGGGTTGTAGTTGTGAAGTTGGGCTATTTCGTAGGTTGGACTCTTGGAATTAGACTTTATTTATATGAGTTTTTGCTGAATGAACTTGATCTTGTAAAACTGATTCATTTAAAAAAGTGGTTTGAAGTTAAGTGATTAGTGTTTGAACTTTTTAAGTTAATAGTCATATATAAGTCATAGGTTGATGTTGTGGAATTAGGCTGTTTCTTAAGTAGAATTAGACCGTATTTTGGTGTGTTTTTTTGCCAAATGTAAAACTGATATGTAAAACTTATTCGTTTAAAAATTGGTTTGAAGTTAAGTGTTTAATGTTTGAATTTTTGTTAGTTACTAAGTCATAGGTCATGTATTGGCGTTGTGGAGTTAGGCTGTTACATATGTTCTAGTTGTGGAAGTGGACTTTATTTATATGCGGTTTTTCGGTTTGGCATTTTTTCCTTTTATAAGAATTTTATATATGTAGTTTGAAAGGCATGTTGTTATTTCCTCGAACCAGATTATTGACGTTGGTGGGAAGGAGTTCAGATTTACATGGTCAAGGGACGGTGATCTATGTGATATTTATGAACAGTGCCAAAGTGGCGTAGATGGAAACGGTTTGCTTGTTGAATCTGGGTGTGCATGGCGCAAAGTGAGTGTACAGCGTATCTTGGACGAGTCCGCTAAGAATCACGTCAAAATGCGGTCAAAGGAAGCCGAACGCAAGCTCAAGTCACGCAAGTATTGTCTCACACTTACTTTTTTGTACTATGCCATTTCTTCAACTTTTGAATTTCCCAATCTCTTTCTCCTTTTTTTTTTCTTTCCGATATTACTTTCAATACCGGCGATAGTTTATGATGTATGAATATCTCCTCCCAATTTTAGTCCAATTAATCATTTATTATGTTCTCACGATAGAGCCATTGTCTTGGAGCCTGGGAACCTGTCTACAATGAACCAGATAAAGCCATTGGCAGCAGTTGGGGGTAATTTTTCTTTTGATTCTTGTATTAATGAATTAATTTTCCCCAAGTTTTTGAAATGTGAAATTTTAAGTTGCTATTTTATTGTGTCATTGGGCAAAGAAATTTGAAAAAAAAATCCTGATAGTGTTAGGTACTGTTATCTTCTTATTACCGTTATATTTTGTTCTGCCAAAGACTTCTACTTTTAATGTATCTGGTTTAATGATGTTTATATTAGAACTATACAACTGAAGAGCTTTGTGCTTTCCCTTGTCTAGCTACATCAGGAAAGAATTACAACACAAAGAAAGACACTGCACTTAAGAAAAGGAAAGTGGAAACTCTTCAAGGTAATAAAATTTACATCTTTCCAACAGTTTAAATTAATAGAAAGACGACATTACATATATGATATAAGTATTGAAACCCTTCATATAAATCTCTGTTAGCTCATCTGCTCATGGAGTATAAAATTAAAATATAGTATATTATTAATTTAATTTATATTATAACTTTTAGAATATTGAAATAAATCTAAAATATATGTATCTTGATTATCACCACAAATGAGACATAAAATTGTTAGTGCTAATAAATTTACTTGTAAGTGGTAACAAATTTTCCATATTCACATATATTTAATTGTAAAGAGAAGAACTCAAATATAAGGGTGTGTTTATTTCAAGGTTTCAAATTATATTCTTTGGAATAATCTTCTTGGTAGAAATTAAGGTTTCTTAGGAATAATTGTAAATTTGTGTAATTTAAAATTATAAAAAAATAAAATAAAAATAAATGTGATTGTAGTGAGAAATTATAATTGGTTGAAGTTAATCCCATGAAAATGTTATTTTCCCACCCTTTAAGCCTTGGAATAAAATTAAAAGAATCATGTGTAAATAAGTTTCCTAGGAATAAAAAGTTCCTAGAAATAATTTTTTAAAACTTGAGTCAAACATGAGAATGTTGCATTCCTATAGTCATATTCCTGAAAATATTTTTTCTAACCTTTGAAATAAACACACCCTAATTATGGTATAGCGTGACAAATACAAAGTCTCGCCTTTAAAATCACTTTGATATTGGAATTTCTTCTAACTTAAGTCACAATTTTAGTCATAGTAGATGAATTAAATTTAAAAATTGTTTACATTTGCAATTTTAAAAAATTATTGAAGGTTCATCTCAAATAATAATTTGCATATATGAGGCTTAAAAATGTTTTAAAAATAATGATTTTTAAAAATTAAAAGAGATTAAAAAGAATCAATAATTAAAAATTAAAAAACAGTGTTAAAAATAAAGTTTAAGAGATTCAATAAAAATTAGTGAAAAATAAAGAATAAATTAAAAGAATAATGATAACAATAAAGTAGACAAATGTTAATAATAAAAATTAAAACTTAAAAAAGGATAGTCAGTGGTTAGTTAAAAAAATGGGTTAACCATTTTAAATAAATGGGTTAAAAAAATAAAAATATTAAATGTTTACAAAAAATATTAAACGAAATAATTAAAAATTAAAAAATAGATAGTGGCTGAGTTTGTGGTTAGTTATTTATTAAAATTAGTGGGAGAAAGCTTGATTAACAATGATAATTAATTAAAAATGATATTAATAATAATATAAAATAAGAGTTATTGGAACTAATAAAATAAAATAAAATGAAAAAATGCAATTACTAAAACAAACTTAATTTTGACTCCAAAAGATGCTTGAGAGACTTAATAACTTTAATATATAAGATATGTTAAAAATAATGATTTTTAAAAATTGAAAAAGATTAAAGAGAATTAATAATTAAAAATTAAAAAAGAGTGTTAAAAATATGATAATTAAAAATAAAGTTTAAGAGAATCAATAAAAATTAGTGAAAAATAAAGAATAAAATTAAAAAAATAATGATAACAATAAAGTAAACAAATGTTAATAATAAAAATTAAAACTTAAAAAAGGATAGTTAGTGGTTAGTTAAAAAAATGGGTTAACGATTTTAAATAAATGGGTTAAAGAAATAAAAATATTAACTAATAAAATAAAATAAAATAAAAAAATACAATTACTAAAACAACTTTAACTTTGGCTCCAAAAGTTGTTTAAAAGTTGTTTAAGAGACTTAACAATTTTAATATATAAGATATCTGGAATCTTTTTATAGTTGGAGGCCCCCCAAAAGCCTCCCGTATATCTGGATTGATGTCAATAAGTACTATTGCCAAGGGAAAGCGTTCGTCTCTTCTTCCATCTTCACCTGATCATTTTGCTCCTTCCTCTCCACTAGGAGCTGTAAAAAAAGTAAGCGGTGGGGATCTTGATATTATTTTATGTTACATTTATGGTCTTATTTTTTAATTTTAGTTTTTTGTTTGACCTTGAACATCAAATTGCAAAATGCTAGATCCCTGGAAGGTATTTTTTAAAGCCAGGGGCGGAATTGAAAAGCTTCAAGAAACCTCAGACTGAAAGTGGAAGGTACCGATTATGTTCACAACTTTATCACTGGATATTAGTACTGCAAGTGTCTTTTTTGGGTCCATTATTTATTTAAGGGGCACTTTCTTATTTTGATTTTGTACGTGTATGAACTTACTGAGCTATTCTAAAGTTATTCTACTAGAACCTTCTTTAGTTTGTTACGGTGCTTATAAGTTTTTGTTTAGTGAATGGATTACAATACAAACTTGACTAGTTGTATAGATAGTCTAATAGCTACCGGGCTTTGTATCCTTTGCATCAGTTTCTTAAAAATTCAATATGTTTGTACAGTTTGCCTGAAGAAAATCATAACCAAGCACCTTCCCATAAAGAGTTTTACAACCAGACATCAGCTCCACAGGGATGTTTTGAAGAGAAAACTCCAAATGACGATTTGAAAGAAACAATACAATTAAAATCCAAAGTGGATGGAGAATCAAACCCATTGGAAAAAATTGAATTGCGACATGCTTCACTTAATATATTTGGTGACAAAAAAGATTCTGATTATAGTGAAGGGAGGGCAGGAAGCTCCAGTGATAGTGATAGTGATAATGATAGTGACAGTGAAAGTGACAGTAGTGACAGTGAAAGCTATAGTAGGAGCAGAGGTAGAAGTCCCACTGGATCAGGAAGTGGGAGTAGCAGTGACAGTGAAAGTGACACATCTTCCAGCAGCAAGGAGGGATTGGAGGGTTCTGATGAGGATGTAAATATTATGAGTGATGATGAAAAAGAGCCAAAGCACAAAGGGGAAACCTGTGATCAAAGGATTTCCTTACCCATTCCAGTAACATCTTCTGATGGAAGATTTATGCAGAATGAGGCTGATGAGAAGCAGGATGGTAATGAATCTGATGCAGTTGATATTGGAAAAGACTCACCCGAGGAACCGGAAGCTAGAATGGTGCTAACTACAGATAATGTTTTTGATAACGTTGGAAAATATGCAGAAGAGACAGAACCTTTTTCATTCGAGTATCAACAGCTCCAGGAGCGCAGACATTATTTAGGGAGTTTGATTGATGAAAAGCAAGGTAAATTCAAAGATAGCTCTAAGAACAAACAGTCTGACAGCCCTTATAGGCTATCTAAAGGTAAACATAAGAGGGGTTCCGAATTGAACAACATTGACGAGAATTCTGAAGGTACAAAGAGGCTGAATGCAGGAAACTTGACCCATGACTCAAATTCTCTGGCTACAGATGTGAAAATGTTGGGGAACTCTAGAGCTGACAGACAAGGAAACTCCAATCTTGGTAACCAGAAAGGATACAATCGAACATTGCCAGGAAAATCTATTCTAGATTTACCACAAACAGTTCAAAGGGCTTTTGACCAAAGCCCTCAAGGAAACACTTCCTATCCATTGGAAAAATCAGACAAACTTGGTGAAAGCACGAGGCACAGCAGAAAACACTCAGGAAAGGACTTCCATGCAGAAGTTTCTCATGTGCAGGAAAATAGAGCAAACACTTCAGAGGACATGAATTCAACTATTACTAAAGTAAAACCTTCTTTGAGAAACACAAATAAAAAGATTGTAGATTATCCTTTTAAAGACTCAATAAAGTCTCTTTCTAGAGTTATTCAAACTCATTCGCAACATTTGAGTGGAGAGAATGCGGACATTGGATCTCAAAACAACCTGACAGAATCGAATACCAAATTCAGAAATAATGAATCCGGGGTGAGCCATGATAATAAATTGGATGGTCGCAGTGAAAGCAATAGAAGAGTGTCCGCAAATGGATCAAAGCAAGACACACAAAGCGGAATGATTTCCTACCCTGTGAAAGAGAGTAAAAGACAAACAGCTAATTCATGTGAAGAGGTTGCTGATGGAAGAAAGGATTCAGTATTTGCAGATAGAAATAATACTGACCAAAAAAAGAGAGAATCTTCCTCATATGAAAGTAGTTGCTCTTATTTAAAGTATGAAAAAGAGGAACCTGAATTAAAGGGACCTATAACGTCCATCTCCCAGTAAGCAGTTATTCTTTATTTTCCGCTGTAATTGTTGTTGCCGTAGTTAGTATGGTAGTAGGGCTCTTTTGATTGAATTTCTCTTTGTTTGTTTGTTGTGATACATGTTTTCTATGCGATGCTAGATACAAAGAATACGTGCTGGAGTACCATGAAAAATATGAGAGTTACGTCTCCTTGAACAAGATTTTGCAGAATTACAGGTAAAATAGTCTATTGATTAAAAGTTTCTTCGCTTTTCAGTTCAGATGTGTATTTTGATTGCTTGTCTGATATTTTGTCTACCATGAAACCCATTTGCAGTAACGAGTTTCAGAAACTAGCTGATGATTTAGAACTTGCTAAAAGCAAGGGGGATATGGACAGATATCACCACATTGTGGAACAAATTAATGAGTCCTTTGGGCGATGCGGATTGGTATGTTTTATTTGTCTTCACCCATGCCTGTAGAATGTATCTGTGTACTTTGTCTCCGTAGCTCAAATATTGAAAAACCATATTTTGTATATTCTTGACTTGTTCTGCTGTTAACAGTTTCTCAAATTGTACTCAAGGCCCTTTTATTTTATCTCGTCCCAAAGTAACTAACTGATAATTGTCTAGTTTAACTTGATCAATTTTGGTCGAGTTTAAACAAATTATTCATTCAGTTTTGATTAGAAATTCATGTTTGGGATATCGAAGTTTTTCCACCCAACTGTTTTCTCATTGTAATAAGTAACATCATCTTTTTTTTAACATGTGGCCATCATCTGAATTGCAGAGACACCGGAGACTGAAGAAAATATTTGTTGTGCTTCATGAAGAACTGGCGGTAAATGTTTAAATATTTTCGAACCTTGGTCTGGATTTGTTTAGTTAAATTATGAACTATTTTTCTTCATTGTTGTTAGAGTTTTTATATGCTCATCACGCTTCTTTCCCCCCACTTCATGCAGGATATTAAACAAAAGACATTAAAGATGTGTGTCCCATTGTTAATACACTCAATGTCGGGCTGATATGGTTTGGAATTTCCAGTAGCGCTTACAGGTGTTCAGATTCACAGATATAAATTAAAACCATAAATCAATTTGAAGGGAGTCTGGTTAACAAACTGTTAACATGGTCAACCACCATCTTTGGAATAACATCTTCCAAACCGTTATCCAATGAATTATTGTCCCCTTCAAAGATACCTTTGAAGTGATCCACTACTAGATCAAAAATGATTTTTTGGTCAGAAATAGTCTTGGAGCCCGTCTCTGAGAGAGGAGATATTCGCTGTACAATGTTTGATTTTAGCTACCCTGTAAAAATATCTAGTGTTCTTATCACCATCTTTATGCCAATTGATTCGAGCCTTCCCACTCCAAAACAGTTCTTCATAATTAAGGGCGTTGCTTAAGTCAATCTGAGCCTTCTTTTCCTGTTCCGTCAGAGATTCATTATAGGCAGTCAACTGAATTTAATTCTGAATAGAATCCAGGATGGCTGAAGCATTAGTAAGCTGATAATGCACATTGCCAAAGGTAGTGTGATTTCATTCCTTCAAAATAATCTCTGGAGCTACTTTAGCTTCTGAGTCAAGACACGTGGCAACTATGTTTTAGTAATATTTAGGAGGTGTTTAAATCTAAACCGATCCAAAATAAAAATCGGAAATCGATTAAAAAAACCGAAAATCGCACAATCGAATATTATTGGATGTGTTCGGATTTCAGATTGGTTTTCTAAAACTGATTCGAACCGAATCGTGTAAATATTTTAATATATATTTAATTTTTTATTTATTAATATGATATGTTGTATTAATTTATTATTCATTAATACTTATTTTTTGAGACTATAATTTAATGTCATAGTTATTTTTATTATTTCATTTGTTTCAATTATAATGATATTTTTATTTTGTAATATTAATTTTTATATACTTTTTGTTATATATTATAACAAATCTATTATTTATTAATATTTTTATAATCTTAATAAAAAATATAATTTTTAATTTGAATATTCAAAAATCGATTCACATTAAACCACATGAAATTGGATTGGAATGAATTGGATTTTTTACTCTATCATTTAAAATTAAATTGAACTTTGAGTAAATTTATCTTTGGATCTGAAGAGTTTTTGTAATGTCCGTAATTTAATTAATTATTTAATTAAATTATTTTTGGAATATTTGTGAAGATGTGTTATAATTAAATTGGATTTATTTTATTAAGTGGAGAAATAATATTAGAGATATATTATTATGTGGATAAATAATATTAAAAGAGTAATATTATTTAATGTGGGCTTATTTTGAGAGAGTAGAAGTAATAAGGGGGTGTGTTGGTTTTAAGCCCAATAAGGAATAATAGAATAATAGGGTTATTTCATTATTTGTTGTTAGAATAGAAAGAAGAAGCAGTAGAAAGAAATAAGGATTGAGGAGAATGTACGAGCTGCGTGAGAAAGAGGAATAACGGCAAGAACGAGAATCCAACCGGGAATTGTAGAGCGACTTTCAATCCAAGATAAGGGCGGGGTTCTGACTTTATAATTGGGTTTATGATGATTGATATGTGGGGTTAGTGGTGATTGTTGTCTTGTTCTTGAATTGAGAATAAATTGATTGATGTATGATGAGAATTGATGAATTTTTGGATGAATATTGATGTCTTGATGCTGATTAAAATGCTGTAAGATTATTGAGTTGTTATGGGTGATGCATTATCATGATTAGACCAAGTTCTAAGGCTTTAGTTATGAAAACGCAGAAATACTATAGCACAAAAAACGCAGAATTATGCTAGAATGATACTAGGTGCTGCTGTGTTAGAACGATGAATTAATTAGGGAATAACATTAGTCGTAATGGTTCCTGATTAGGGTGATAACAGGCAAAAGAATTAAAATAATAACGTTAAGGAAAGGTAGCAGTTCTGACGTTAGAAGGATGTTGATAGAAGTTGCGTCAGATTAGTGCAAGGTAGAAGTTCTGATGTTATACGTATGTTAATTAGAAGTTGCGTTGCCCAATAGAGAATAAATGTGGCTAGTCAGAAGTTGCATTAGTAAGAACTTGTACTAGTCAGAAGATGAGGTTAGTCAGAAGGTGTGACGGTCAGAAGTTGTATCTGGTCAGAGGCTGGGTTGATCAGAAGATAGGATTAGTCAGAAGATGTGATGATCAGAAGTTGGACTAGTCAGAAGCTGTGATGATCAGAAGTTGTATCTGGCCAGAGGTTGGGTTAGCCAGAATTGTGTAATTAGAAGCTGAGTTATTAGAATTTGTGTTGGTTAGAGGTTGCGTGGTCAGAAGCTGTGTTGGCTTTTACGTTGTTTGCGAACAGAACTATGAGCGTTAGATGCTTAGAAGTTGCTGTTTGAGCTATAATAACAGGAATAGTGACGGTCTTGATGTTAGAGTTGCAGAATGACAGTATTATTTTTACTGTGGAAATTAAATGCTTCAGAGTTGTTAATGAGAAGTATTAATAATATTGTGTTGATGATTTATAATAAATAAACGATGTTTGATGAATTATTTTGATAATCTGAGATGTTGATTATTTGAGATGTTTTTGAGATGTTAATTTGAGATGTTCTGAGATGTTAATTTGAGATGTTTTTGAGATGTTAATTTGAGATGTTTTGAGATGATTTGAGATGTTATTAATTTGAGCGTTGTTATTACATTCATGATTGTGTTGCATACATTGCATTTTTGAGATGGAGCTTATGTTCGTTGAGATGGCCTGGATTGACAAATTTTGAGATGAAGGCTATGCCTTGTTGATGCTTCTATTAATTGGAAATTTTTTGAGATGGGAGTTCTGCTCCAATGGTACCACATGCATTTGCATAGTATTGAGTCGCATTATATGATTTCATAAAGAAGTGTATTTTGATGTTGATGAATGATTATTACTGTTGAAATTGTTGTTGATTATGAGATGAGAAGCGGTGATGTTGTTGATCTAATTTAATATATTAATTATCATGCACTTTATTATATTGTTAGATATCTCACCCCTTCTGTTTGAATATTGCCCTTATGTTGGTAACATGCAGGTAATCGAGAGTGAAGGCTGTATACCTTCAGTAGTTCGAGTCGGTGTCATTGCTTTGATATGTAACCCTCGGAGGGATGGACGCTTGCTGATTTTAGATTGTTGTTTTTCAGTTATTGAACTTTAAATAGATTATTATTGAATATGAGATGTTTCGTAGTTGCTGTTTTGTTTAAATATGTTATTGAAGAATTCCACTGCGTAGATGTTGATTTATTTGATTAAAGATGTTATGTTGATGATTCATCCGATGTTTGAAAAAGTGTTATGTATCCACGATGAATGCAATGAATTTTGTGAGAAGAATTTGTGACGTATAACTCTGATTTATTTTGCATAATTGCTTGGGGTAGAATTGGGGTGTTACAAAGTTGGTATCAGAGCAAAAGGTTGGTCCGACCTTATCGTCGAGTCGTAGTTGTCTAATAATCGAGTATTGTTATTTTGAGTTCTAACAGTTGTTTATGTTGTAGTGAGAAGTTGAGATGGCTGGAAGGAATGATGCTGCACTTGCTGCTGCTTTAGAAGCAATGGCTCATGCGATGGAAAATCAGCCGAATGCTGACGAGAATGCTGGATCTCGTAGCTTGGCAACTTTCTAGAGAGAGAATCCACCTACGTTCAAGGGAAAATATGATCCTGACGGGGCATTGGAGTGGTTGAAAGAGATTGAGAGAATATTTTGCGTGATGGACTGCACTCCAGCGCAGAAGGTTCGTTATGGTACTCATATGCTAGCAGTCGAAGCTGATGACTGGTGGCTAGAGACTTGTCAGAGATTGGAAGCTGTAGGTGAGAATGTCACTTGGGTTGTGTTTCATAGAGAATTTTTGAGAAAGTACTTTCCTGAAGATGTCCGTGGTAAGAAGGAAATTGAGTTCCTTGAGCTGAAACAAGGAAGTATGTCTGTTGTTGAGTATGCTGCCAAGTTTGCTGAGTTGGCTAAGTTTTATCCGCATTACGCTGAGGAAAATGCTGGATTTTCGAAGTGTATTAAATTTGAGAATGGGTTGCGCCCGAAGATTAAGAAGGCAGTTGGATACTATAAAATTTGTGTCTTTGCTGATTTGGTTGATAACTGCAGGATTTATGAAGAAGATAATAATGCTCATTACAAGATTATCAGTGAGAAGAGGGGTAAGCACCAACAGAATCTTGGTAAGCCTTATGATGCCCCAGTTGGTAAAGGTAAACAGAAAGTTGCTCATGGACAAAGGACTAGTGGGGGAGATGCTCCTGCTGGTGTGATTTGCTTTAAGTGTGGAAAACCTGGGCACAAGAGTAATGTGTGCACTGCTAAAGTGAAGAGGTGTTACCGTTGTGGTAAGAACGAACATGTTGTATCTGAGTGTGAACACAAGAATGTGATTTGTTTCAACTGTAGAGAGGAAGGACATATTGGTAGCCAGTGTCCGAAACCGAAGAGGGCTCAGTCAAGTGGTAAAGTGTTTGCTTTGGTTGAGGATCAGACAACTGCTGAGGACGAACTTATTAGAGGTACATGTTTCATTAATAGTACTCCTTTAATTACTATTATTGATACTGGTGCTACGCATTGTTTTATTGCTGCTGATTGTGTTGAAAGATTGAGTCTTATGTTGTCTTCTTTGAATGGAGAAATGGTCGTCGATACTCCAACCAAGGGGTCGGTGATTACTTCTTTTGTGTGTACTAAGTGTCCCTTGTCGATCTTCGACAAAGACTTTGTTGTTGATTTGGTTTGTTTACCGTTAAGAGGTTTGGATGTGATTTTGGGTATGAACTGGTTAGAGCATAACCGTGTTCATATTAACTGTTATCACAAGTCCGTGAAGTTTTCTACTCCTGAAGAAGAGGAAGATGGTCTGTTGTCTACTAGACAATTGAGAAAGTTGATGCAAGAGAAAGCACAGATGTTCTCGTTGATGGCGTCACTATCTGTAGAGACTCAAGCTATAATTGAGGAATTGCAGGTGGTG